CTTAAGACTTGGAGCCAGGGGGATCAGTTCAAAGTCATTTTTGGCTATGTAGCATGAGAACCTTGCTCGAAAATGATGAAAAAACAACAAAAAAAAAATTGGCTTTGAGGATAAAGACCCCCTTGATCTCCCAGAAGGTAGAAAGTGCTTCAAAAAGTACCAGCCAGCACAGTGGCTGGAGAAGATGCAATAGAGAGCTGTGAGATGAGTGAAATGGCTCAGTGAGTGATGAGACCTTCCACCATGCCTGACTATTTGAGTTCAGTCACACAGCCCGTGTGGTCGGAGAAGAAAACTGACCTTCACATACACCCACAGACATACAGAAAATACACTTTTTTTTTTTTTTAATGAAAAGAAAGATAAGCCATAGTGCTAGCACAAGCTGGGCAACTGAGGAAAACCATTTTTCTAGTAAACAGCTTACAGGAGCAGGAGCTCCTTGTCACAGAGTATGTGGGCATCAGACCTGAAGCCCTGGTGTTAGGAATCAGGACAACCTGGTGGGGGAGGAGCACGCAACACAGAGAAGGACAGTGTCTCTGGCAGCACAGTGGGTACCACCTGAAAGTTGAAGGTTTATTTTTCTTTTTATTTTTTGAGATAGGGTCTATGTATTCCCTGCAGTCCTAGAGCTCACTGCATATGGACCTTGAAAACTCACAGATATCTGCCCTCTGGGTACTAGGCACCACACCCAGATTTTTTTCTTTGAGACAAGGTCACACCCTGTAACTAGCAGGCCTGGAATTTTCTTTATAAACCAGACCGATCTCACACTCACAGTGACTGTCCTGCTTCCGTTGACAGGAGAACTGCAAATTGAAGATCTGCCTGACACAAAGAACAGGTCCACAGCAACATGGGCAACTGGGAAAGAAAAACCTTTCCTCGACCTAAAAAAGTTACAGGCCCAGGCCCAGTGGCAGACACCTTTAATCCTGGCACTCAGGCAGGCAGATATTTGAGTTTGAGGCCAGCCTGGTCTACAAAGCAAGTCCAGGACAGCCAAGGGTACACAAAGAAACCCTGTTTCAAAAAAAGGTTATAAAAGGGCTGGGGACAGAGCTGGTGGCTGTTGTAGTAAACACTTAGCTCTAAGTCAGTCCAGAGAAGAGGAGAAAAAAAAATGTTATTCAGAGCATCACACAGCAGCTCCAAGGGCTAGGGCTAGTATTATCATATGCTAGTCAGTGAAACCCAGAAGCTCTGGGATGCCCTACATCTCCAGCGTTATCCTCTCGGACTGTGTACGAAGCCCAGGGCCCCACACATGGGCTCATCTAGCTTCTACCCGTCTCTGTTCAGTTTCACACTCTTCAAGTTTCCAGGCTGGCTTGGAACTTCATATCCTGCCATCTAGGCTGGAGAGATGGCTCAGCAGCCTGACAGCTTGAGCTGAATCCCTGGAATACAGACAGGTAAAGGCAGGAGAGACGAACCAACCAACCCCACAGTATTGTCCTCTGACCTTTACGTGTGTACCATGGTATGTGAGCACCCCTACCACACACACATACCAACACTACCACCACCAAAAGTAATGATGATAAAAATAACCTAAGACATAACAGTACTAAGCATAGCAGATCAGGTCTTTAAACCCTGCACTCAGGAGGCAGGCAGGAGGATCTCTGTGAGTTCCAGGACAGCCTAGTCCACATAAGCAAATTCTAGGACAGCCATGAGCATGTTTCTCAGATAACATTGAGTCCCAGAGTCTATTGCTCTTTAACCTACAAGAACATCGTTTCCAAAACAAGTGAGTGTGAACTAGAGCAGGACTCAAAGATACAGTAATCTAGGATCCTCCGAAGCTGAGGCAGGAGGAATACAAGTTCAAGTCCTGTCTGGTATACAGAGTGAGTTCAGTATCTAGACTGTTCTCAATGAAAGGCTGAAGAGGCTCCTGACATAGCCTCAAGTAGTTGGAAGGTGTTCACCAGTGGGCCTGGCTAACAACCACAAGGTGACTCAGTGGTTAAGAGCACTTCTGCTCCTTCAGAGGATCTGGGTTCGATTCACAGCCACATGTAACTCCAGTTGCAGGAGACCTCTTCTGGTTTCCCAGGCCCTGCATGCACACAAAACAGGCAAGCAGGCAAAACACTCAAACATGCTTTCAGTGAGCATACTTTTCAGAAACAGATATGCCGGAACCCACTGGCAGAGTCAAATAGTACCTGAGCGAACAGTAAGGATTAAAATAATTAAAACAAATCACACTACACACAGGATCAGCTTGAGAGGGCTGTCAGTAATGACTGAAGCAGCATGGGTTTATTCCACCATTCATTTTTTTATAGGCAAAGCAAAAACAAGTTACATCAACATAAAAAGAAGTTTGTGGAACCGCTACATTTTTCTAAAACTACTTCCCTATAGCAGATAAGGTCCAAGGTCACACAAACAAGTTTTAAGGAACTTGGAACTAGTTCTAAGGAACTTGGCAAAACTTCCTCTTTTCTGTCTCAAGGTGGGGGCCAGGGTGAAAAGATGTTTTTCGATAAATAACAAAGCAGCTTGACAAACGAGCAGCCCTCCAAACAGATACACCTAGTCTTTAGAAAACATCAGAATTTATTGAATAACAGTTAAGTCCACATGCTACAGTTTTGTTGTCTATAATCCACCAAGTACTACGATTTCACTTGATAGTTATAGCCACTAACAATTCAAGCCTTTTTTTCCACACATTACACATCAGACAATGATTTGTAGGACAGAGTGTAGCTAAGAAAGGTCAAAGGATTGGAGAACCCAGGCTTGGTGGGGCAGCCTTTATTCCCAGCACTGAGAAGCAAAGGCAAGCCATGGATCTCTCTGAGCTGAGTCTAGCCTGGTTACATAAAGTGTTCCAGATAGCCAGGACTACCTAGAGAGACACTGTCTTAAAAAAAAAAAAAAAAATTGGGGAGGAGGGAGGGGCTTATGGGGGGATACAAAATGAATAAAGTTAATTAATAATAAAATAATAAAAAAAAATTGAAGAGGCAGGCTATGGATGTAGCTAAGTGGGTAGAATGCTTACCTGGCAAGCAGGACGCTATAGGTTTGGCAGACAGACAACCCACTTCAATTCCTAGGTCCCACAAGTTGACCCCCACACAAGTACCACTGTACATGTGAAGATAACCTCTAAGGGAAAAGAAGCTATGGGTCAGGGCTTGGTGGCACACTCCTGTAATCCCGGCATCCTGGGAAGCAAAGGCAGGCAGATCTCTGAGATCAAGGCCAGCCTGGTCTACAGAGTGAGTCCAAGACAGCCAGGACTACACCAAGAAACCCTGTTTTGAGAAAGAAAAAAAAAATTAAAAAAAAAAAAAAATCAAGCTATGAGTCTGATCCCCAGAAAAAGCGTAAAACCAGGGGTGGTGTTTACACTTGTAACCCTCACAATCAGGAGACAGAGACTTAAACAACACACTAAGAATCTGGGCATAGGAATATAGCTCTGGGCTGAAGAGATGGCTCAGAGGTTAAGAGCACTGGCTGCTCTTCCAGAGGTCCTGAGTTCAATTCCCAGCAACCACATGGTGGTTCACCACCACCTATAATGAGATCTGGTGCCCCTTTCTGGTGTGCAGACAGAACACTGTATACATAATAAATAAATCTTAAAAAAAAAAAAAAAAGGAATACAGCTCCATGGCACAGTTCTTCCCCACAGCATATGAGGTAAGCTCAATTCTTACCACTCAGTCAAGGAGGGAAGCCAGCCAGCCACAGTGGCACACACCTTTAATCCAGGTGGATTTCTGACAGAAGCTGGACTGGTCTACTTAGTATGCAACAACCAGGGCTATATAGAGACCCTGTTTCAAAAGGCAAAAATTCAAATAGGATGCATGACCCTGTAACCCCAGCATAGGGACCCATGGGAAGCCCTCTGGCTAGCAGGCTGGTTTCTGCTTCCATGAGAACCTTGTCAAGCGAATAAATCAGAGTAAGATACAGAAAGACACCTGATGTTTCCCACAGCCTCATTTGTAGACACATCACATACACCACACTAAAAAAATTAAGGAGGCCCAGCAGTGGGGGATGCTGTGTTACAGCCCAGGGGCAGAGTTGAGAGCTCATTGCAAACCACGGTCTGATGACACACGGTAGCAAACACTCCATGGCCCAGTATCTCAGTGGTCTAGAGTGTTTAATATTGTAACAGCTGGGTTTCTTTCCTGCTAGGGTTTGTGTGTATTTGTCTATATATTCCTGGTTCAATTTTTTGTTGTTTTGTTGTGTTCAAAACAGTGTTTCTGGCTGTCCTGGACTCACTTTGTAGACCAGGCTGGCCTACAACTCAAAGAAATCCACTGCCTCTGCCTCCCAGAGTGCTGGGACTAAAGGTGGCAGTATCTTATGAGTGTAAATATTTGACTTACCAGTGTATGGCACAGTAATGCTAGGTGCTGCCTGGCTCAGACAACAGTCATTCAACCTCAGAAATACAAACCAATTTTTAAATTATTTAAAGGAGCTACAGGAAACCAGGTCTGGCGGTACAAGCCTACACTCCACACTCTGGAAAGTGCAGGTGGGACAACCAGGAGTGCAAGTTCATTCCTGGCAGTCTTGGGACTTCAGTAGATCTGAAGGTGTAAAACAGGTTTATCAGCCAGGTAGGCCTGATGGTCCCACTGATCATGAAACCAGAAGAGCACCAGGCTGGAGTAATGTTCTTCCGCAGAACCCCCTCCCAGGATATCTTCGACAATTCTCATCACTCCCTACATCAAACACTTTTTTTTTTTTGCACTCAAGCATCAACATTTTCTTCCCACTCACAAGAGCAGCAGTCTAAAATCAAGTACTGTGTCCCCAGACCAGACAACTGTGTGCTGCCTTCTGCCTCCCAGTGTCCAAAAAAAAAAGGAGAGCTTGATATTTGCATCTCATTAGATTTATGTCTAACATGGCCCAACACATTATAGGTGTATCACAACCCACATCCTTCATTGCAGACAGCATAAGACAACATAAGACAAGACAGGGGCGGGTCACCCAATAGTCCTCTGCACCTCTACAAACTCAACATGAGGCTGAGAAACAACCTCAAAATTCAGGTCACTGTGATGATCACTGCTTGGCACAAAGCATATCTTTGACTGCTGGGATCCTAGATTGACAGCGTTATACACCAACTCTCTCAAAAACAGGCAAAGAGCTGGGTTCCTTGTAAGTTAAACTGGGTGAGCTGAGCACTACTTATCAGGGCAGGCAGGATGGCAAGGAATTGGAAGTCCGTTATTTGACAGCCTTCCATCTCCAGGGTCATCAGGGTAGATGCACATTTTAGCAACAGAACTCTAAGGGGCTCTGGGCTCAAATGGGTCAGTTTGACCCATTTCAAATTCAGGTGTTTTAGCTGACTTGTGCACCAGAACTCAGATATGTGGTTCCAGTCTGATTTTGACAGATTACAGTCAATCACTGACAAGGTCTCCAAGGGCGTCTTCAGCCACCTAAAAGAAAACAAGACAGTTCTTGGAATTATGGAAAAGAACTTTCTAATCACATCATAAGTCATTATCCATCTTCCATGATAGAGAATCTCCTCCCTTAAATCTGTACTGAGGCCTGTCACCATTGCGGTACATCCAGCTCAATCCAAGACTGCAATTCCTTTCCACACAGAGAAGGCTGAGAACAGAGCCCTGAGTTCAATGACCTGTATCTTCACAGCCTCTGTTCCTGTTCACAATGCTTCACCTCTGACCCTGACTCTCAAGTGTAATGTCACATTTCCCATCTACTCATCCTCTCTGCTTGAGGTCAAAACACTGGGTATGGTGACACACACCCGTGATATCACGAGGGACATGAGACAGGAGGATTAAGGAGAGGAGAGGACAAGCCAATCTTCTGATAACATGATGACCTCATCTCAAAAACCAGCCTGTCCCTGATGGAGAACTGGAGGCAAGCAGAGCAGAGCTCAGCAGGGACTGTGGAAGTACACAGTAAACCCTTCTTTTCCCTCTTCCAGTTTCCCTTAGACATTTGCTAAGAAAGAATTTGGCACCAGTTCTTAACTCCATCTCATGCCCAAGAAGCCTCTTCCTAGCATCACACCCTGTCTCTAGTCCATCATCTCCAGCTTGACCCCACAGCACCTGTCTCCAGGACAGCAGACACAAAACAATGTCCTGATACTCTGATGCCTTGGCAACATCAATCTACCAGTAGCTGCAGAGAGCAGGCGCTCTAAAGGAGCGAGGCTTTGCTTTAGAGTTCTGCCAACCATCCCTCCTTACCAGAACAGCTCATCCAGGTGGCCCTCCAGGAAGATGACAGTATCCAGACACAGGCTCTGGAGGCATTTCAGCTTGAGGAATTGTGAGGTGAACTGGGTGATGACCTGCTGCTTCTCCACTGGGGTCATAGAGAAAGCCTGCCAGAGGTGAGAGAGGACTAGACTGCGCAGGTTCCTCATTCGGCCCAGGTAAGGGGCGAAGTTAAGCAGGCAGACAGGATTACTGATGTAGTACAGACCCAGTTCCTGGACAGAGTCCAGATCCAACATCTCCAAGACATGTCTGTGGCTGTGAGTGGACATAGCCCAGATCTGCAGCTTGCTACAGCACAGCCTCACCAAACCTCTCCTCTGACTGACCCACTGAATGAGGAAGGTCCTTACGAAATTCAGCCTATTTTCCTTGAGGACTAGGTCTACCACCACCTTCAGTGGCTGCTTCACCTCCGTTCCTGACTGGCCTGCCACCTCTTGGCTCTCACTCCCAGCCCTGAACACAGGCAGCCTGTTCCACAACTTCAGAGGCATCACCCGTAAATCCAGCACTTTCAGTTTGCACCTCCTGTAGGTGAAACAAGAGAGAGTCTCAGCACCCAGGCATTAACCACTTTCTCGAATCCAGCCCAGACCCATTCCTAGTGCCTCTGGGAAGCGGCAGCAGAGTCCTTCAGCCACTGCTGATCTGTGACTCCTGCACACGCCAAAGCCCTTTCCCAGATGCCTCAGCATCGGCCAGAGCCCCTGTAGTTCTCCAAGCTGGTGCCATCAGAAGCCCCCGCTCCATTCATGTCTCCCCCACCCCACCCCACCCCGCGCCCCTTTCTACCTGACCCCAGCTGCCTCTGCTTTTATTCCCTCCAGGGTCTCACTCACGTGTGGGGAACCTTCTGGAAAAGAAGGGCATCAAGCCCACACAGGATAACCTCTAAGATTCTCCTGTAGGCCCTCTTCCTCCTGCTCATGGCCCCCAGTGGGAGGCAGGGAAAGGGCCAGGCCCGCACCATCGCCTTCATGAGCGTGAAGTAACCCCTTTGGCAGGCCTTTCTGAACAGTGATGGGATGAGAAGTGAGGGAATGTCGTCCAAAGCAGAGATAGCCAACGCCTGGTTCTTCAGGAGGCCATTTTCTGCCAGCTCCTGGAGTGTGGGTGGAGACTTGCATTTCATCCTGATGGATCTTCAGGGAGAAGATTCCTGGGGCAGAAAAGGAAGTGCTGAGCCTCTTCTGAGCAGGACAGGGGCTAACTCGGTGCTACAGCTCACTGCTCTGTACTGAGAGTGGCAAGACCTCAACTCAGATCACTCCACTCAGCTGCTCCGCTGACCACACTTCCTGCTGGCCCCAGGACTAAGGACTCAAGCATCCATGGCCACAGTCCATCCCATTACCATCATTTCCAGTTTGGCCAATGGATTCCACTCCCGACGGGAAGTACGTCCTATGCATTCTAGAAGCTAAGCACCAGCTCCCGGGAGGGGAAAGGGAAGTGGTGACACACAGCTGCCATCCCAACACTCAGGGGGCAGAGATTTGCCTTCAGGTAAAAGCCAGCCTTTTTTTTTTTTTTTTTTTTTTCTTTTTGGCAGTAGTCGGGGAAAGGGGTTGCAATAGCTACTAGAAAGAAGTTACACTGAAAATGGTTCATAGGCCTGTAATCCCAGCACTTGGAAGGTGGAAGAATCAGGGGTTTGAGGCCAGCCTCAGCTACACAGCAAATTAGATGCTAGCCTGAGTTACATCTGAGCCTGTCTTAAACAGCACATTGTAATTTTCTGTATCTCCAAGACAGTGTTCTTAGACTATAATTTAAGGACATACAAGTGAAACACAGCACTCCGTCAGAGGGATCAAAAAACAAATAGCTTCCTTCCTTATCTCAGCTCATAATAGAAGACATCATGCACCCATAGCCAGGTCCAGCTATGAAGAGGAAGGCTGCAGCACCTTCCCTGGCCTCCGCTCAGACGCCCTGGTGTGCCGGCAGTGACGCAGACTGAGAAGCACTGCAGCGGAACAGGGGTGACAGAAGTACAACCAACAGAACACAAACTAGTGAACTCCGCACTGCCAGCTGGATAGCCATATAAAACGTCAACATCAGAGCTTTCTTTCGTCTGTGTTTGAGACATCTCACTAGTCTTAGCTGGCCTCCAAACTCACTATCGGGCTGGCCAGGTGGCTCAGTGGTGAAGAGAACGCGTTCTTGCAGACAATCCCTTTCCCAGCGCCCTCCCCCCCGCCCCCTGTGGCTCACAACCATCCGTAACTCCATCTCCAAGAGATCCCATGCCCTCTTCTGATCTCCGAAAGTACCAAATGCTTACATGGTTCACATAAATATATGGAAGCAAAACACTCACAAAATGAATAAATTAAGTCTTCAAAACAATTTCACTGTGTAGACCACTAGGCTGGCCTCAAACTCACAAAGATCCACCTGCCTCTACCTCTGAGTAGGAGATCAAAGGTGTGTGCCACCAAGCCTGGGCAGCAACCTTTTTGTTTGTTTGAGACAAGGTTTTCAGTATGTAGCCTCAGGGGCCTGAGGCTTAGGTATCCACCTACCTCTGGGATTGTCTTCTGATCCAATCTGTTGTTTTCTTTGGTAAATTCTGTCGTGGCTAATGCAGCACTCCACAGGAAATGGCAATCGCCTTACCTGAGCCTGGGAGGACTGGGTTTGCAGGCATGCACTAACAGTTAAACTGAGCGTTTGTTATAAATTTGTGGTACTTAGTACTGAACCTGAGTGTCACACATGTTAGGGCGTTTTTACTAGTGAGTTACTGTCATCAAACTTCCAACGAACAGTATTATTTGTTTGAGTTTGTTTGTTTCTTTTGTTGAGACAGGGTTTCTCTGTGTAACAGCCCTGGCTGACCTGGAACTTGTAGACCACGCTGGCCTTGAACTCAAGAGATCCTCCTGCCTCTACCTCCCTAGTGCTGTAATCGAAGGCATGTGGCACCGCTGCCCATCTAGCAAATAAAATTATTTCGTTGCCACCCTGTCGAAAAACCATTAAAAAAAAGTCATTCCTACTTCAAAACTGTAATTTTGCGACTGTTACGATTTTGATCCAAGGTGCCACCCACATGCACAGCCGAATTACACACATCTGGGAGGGGCCAGGGCCCTAGGCCCAAGTCCTGCTTTTTATTTCCAGGGCCACAAAACAGTTGTTTTTGTTTTTAAAAATAAACAGAAAGCGCCAGCCCTATCCTGTCAGCGGTCTCCAGGGGGCATCCAGGTTAATATGGAGTGATTTCTCTTAACAGAGCGGGATATTTTATTTTGTTGTTTTTACTGAGGTCTCAAGTGATGCTCCGGCCCCGGCCTCAGGGACGAGGTTAAATTATCATCTGCTACCACAAAGGACTTGACGGGGTAATTATAGAACAAACTGACTTACCGGAGATAGACAGGTCTCTCCTAAGGGCAGCAGAGCCAAGAAGCGACTCCTCCTGGTCCGAGCACTCTGTCTTCCCGGCTCCTTGTCGCCCTAGCTGGCCTCAAACTCACAGCTGCCTACAAACCGCTGGCCCCTCGAGGCTGCTGAGGCTTTCACTCAGCTTTCCACTCCCACGCTGCCTAAGAAAACCCAGACCCCAAAACAAACCACCGCTTGATTGGATGCTTCGGTCTCCACCCACTTTCTGTAGAATTTTGTTGTTCTCTGTGGCGGAAAACTCTTCACACCAGTGCTCTTGAGGCTAAGGCAAGTGGATGTCTGTGACTTTGGGCCCAGCCTTGTCTAACTAAATGCTGACTTTCAAGCTCCAGCCAAGACTACCTGATAAGATCTTGCCTTAAAAACAAAAACGGCGAGGCCGAGGCGTGGTAGTGCCCACCTTTAATCCCAGCACTGAGGAGCAGAGGCAGGAGGATCTCTGTGAGAGAGAGGCAATCCTTGTCTACACAGCAAACTCTAGGACAACATAGAGACCCTTCCTTCCTCCGCCCCTCCCCCTTTCTCGCATTCGAATCTGATCTGTGTTCCCAATTAAGATGGGAGTTAAAGCCAAGGCTCATTCAAGGATTCACTGCACAGATTTTTCAATATGAGTTTTAAAAAAAAGATAGCAAAAGTTTTAGTCTATTTCACTAGATAAATAAATGAATAGATAGCAAGCAGCCAGGTATAGTGGCACAGAGCATTTTGATACATAGAAGAGAATCTAGACTTCTAGGACAGGCCAAGCTACACAGTGACAGACCAGCCTGGGCTTTATAAGAACCAGTCTCAAAAAACAACTGATACCTGACATCTTTCTTGGGGGATTTTGGTTTTGGTTTTCAAGACAGGGTTTCCCTGTGTGGCCTTGGTTGTCCTGGACTTGCTTTGTAGGCCAGGCTGGCCTCAAACTCACAGTGATCTGCCTGCCTCTGCCTCCCTGAGTGCTGGCATTAAAGGCTTAAGCCGCCACCCTGGCTTGAGGGTTTGTTTGTTTGGTTGGTTTTGTTTTTGTTTTTTAGCTACTCATACTGGTAAGGATGTTCTACAGCGGAACATGAGGACAAACTAGATTCTCTGCCCGAAAAACATTAGCAACTCAAGTACCCAGTACCACCTGAGGGTTTTCCCCCTTTCTTTTGTGGTATATGTAATCTACGTTGCTCTAGAACTTGCTTTGTAGAGCAGACTGGCCCCAAGAGGTGGTCCTACTGTCTCAGCCTGTCCAGCGCTGGCTCACAGAGCAGAAACACCAGAGCTGGCAAGCCACTGCCTAGGATATGTGCTTCCCATGCCTGGTTTTGAGGTGCTGGGTGTCAAACTCAGGGCCTCCCTTATGCTAGGTGAGAACTCTGCCAACTGAGGTACAGCCAGCCTCAGAATGTGGGGCTTCATAGAGAGACAGACGTGTAAGGCAAAATCTGAAGGAAGGTAGCGATTAGAAGCGGTAATAGCTGTAATAGCTGCGAAAGGGCACCTTACAGCCAACACTACCCATGTAGGTAGAGAAGGAGGTACAGCTTTGGTTTCCCCAGAAGGTAGGAAGTATTTCAGATGAGATCAACTCAACCACAGGCTTGAGGAAGGAAAAAAAGATACACCTTGGTCACACACAGGAAGAGAGAAATCAAGAAGACCAAATAAAACAGGGAACTTAAGTGCTGACCCCTTTACATGGGAACAACTCTGAATCTGACTGAGACATAAGAAATGTCTCCAGCCAGAACTTCAACAATACATGCCCAATGAATGGCTACAATATCCTCAAATTTTATTATGCCATTCTTTTAATTGGCATAGATAAAATTAGTTTACAGTTTAGTTTCATCCTGCACATCAAATACATTTTTAATTTTAGGACTGTATAATGCTTGTGAGAAATTATATGCTTCCAGAACAAAAAGACTAGATATTGGAGACACTGGATCAAACCTGACAGGATTCATCCTTCCAGCACGTTGGAACATTGACACATCTGTTCCAGCATCTTGCATGTTCCAGCATTCTGTGTGTTCCTGCCTCAACTGCTTCAATTACTATTTCTCATCAAAGCCTGCTCCCAAGAGAGCTTTGATGAAAGCTTCTAATCTCAATTTGCCAGCATTTTAGACTATTCCAAACAGAACTTCTATTAAACCTGAAATTTCTCAACATACAAAGACTGGACCACAAATGTTAATGCTTGCTTAAGTAACCATTTTTCCCAATTTCCTTTGGGTCCCTAATAGGATTTCTGCTTGTCCAAAAAGTCACCTAGAAAAAAATTCCTGAGAATGATGTCCAATTTCCTTTAAGGGGGACTGGGTAGGTTTCTGGTTGTTTTCTGTGGCTATGAATGTTTTATTGTCAGTGGGACATGTTTATAAATTATTGGTGGTCTTATTCAGAGAGAAAACAAAATTAGACTCAGGGATTTCTCTCTTTTCTTTTTTCTTTCTTAGATAAGGAGAAAGGGGGTTGAAAAGAAAGAAAGGGGAATACAGGAATATCTTATAGGAATAATGAGACAGAAGGTAGATTATTGAATCTACTCAATTTAAGGCTTTATTTGTTATTCTCAAATAAGGTTATTTTTAACTCTGGTATAGGATTTTGTATATTGATGTAAAAATAAATCTAATTTTAATTCATTGGTAAATTTTAGTATATTGATATAAATTCAAGGTTACTTCCAATACTTTTGAAACTTCTATTACAAACTGTTTAGGGGTT